AATAACAACAATAATCAATATCATCATGGTGGGCAGTGGCGGTGGCAGCGGTAGGACTGGCCTGGGGCTGGTCCAAAGGCCTCAGGGTGCCGCATCCGGCCCCCAGGCCTTAGGTTGCCTACCCCTGGGATGCAGCCTTGTCTGACTCCTTTGCCAATTGGGAACCATTCTGTTTCTCCATGTTCTGTTCTGACAGTAGCCTTGTGTCCTGAGTACAGATTCCTCATTAGGACTATCAGATGTGTTGACACTCCCATATCTTTAAGGGCATTCCATAGCCTTTCATGATCTATGCAGTCAAAGGCTTTGTTGTAGTCTATAAAGCACATGCTGATTTTCTCTTGGAACTCCCTGCAATGCCATTGTATATTTGCAATGTGATCCCTGGTGCCTCTTCCTTTCCTGAACCCTGTTTGGACCTCTGGGATTTTTCTCTCCATGTGTGATTGGAGTCTATGCTGCAATATTTTGAGCATAATTTTGCTTGCATGGGAGATTAGTGCTATGGTTCTATAGTTGCTGCATTCTCTTGTGTCTCCTTTTTGTGGATAAGGAAGTATATTGATTGCTTCCAATCTGTTGGCCATCATTTTGTTTTCCATGTCTGTTGACATATGTTGGTTAGCACTAGAGTTGACTCTGTCAGTGTGGATTGCAACAGTTCAATTGGAATGTCATCTGTTCTTGGTGATTTCTTTTTTGCTATTCCTCTTATTGCAGTTTCCAGTTCACCTTTTAGAATTTGTGGTTCATCTTCATTTGGCTCTTCACTCAGTGTGTCCTTCATGTTGTCATCTCTCTTTCATAGTTCTTCTGTGTATTGCATCCAATGTCTGTTTACTACTTCCTGGTCCTAAATTATGTTATATTTATTGTCATAGACCATCCTGGTCCTTAGTTTAAACTTTCCCTTGATTTCTTGAATCTTGTGGAATAGGTCTCTTGTTCTTCCCTTTTTGTTGTTTTCTTCTATTTCTCTATATTTGACATTGTAGTAATTTTCCTTATCTTTGTGCACTAGCCATTGTACTGTTG